GGGTCCTGGGGAGCGGCGGGGCGCGGCGGCCGAAGCCCGGAAGCGGACTGAGGCGGCCGGGGTCCCCGCCGTCTAGCAGCCATGAACGAGGCTGACCGGCAGGTCCTGCGACGGTACCGGTTGCGGCTGGTGAGCGAGTTGCAGGTGGCCTCGCTCTGGGACGCTTTGCTGAACCGCGAGCTCTTCACCCCCGACATGATCGAGGAAATCCAGGTGCGCCCCGCCCCCCTCCAGCCGGCGCCCCCAGCTTCCCGCGCGGCAAACAGACTTCAAGGGGACAGCGAGGCCGCGTGGAGAGGGTTGTTAAAGCCACACCATGACTTAATGGCCGAGCTTCCACCCTCCCCTGCCCCGTCTGTGCCACACAGCACCCACGCCCTTTCGGTAACCATTGTGAGGAAACCCTAAATCGCCCAGAGGAACCAAACAACCCCAAACACCTCTCCCAGGGTTTGCTGAAGCGATCCCACACCCTGCACTATGGGAGTAAGCTGTTAGCTGCTGTAGCGCTGTGCTTCTTGCCTGGAGGCATGCCTGTTTTTCCCTCCTGTTGGGTGGAAATTCGGGGCACCAACTTGGGAGATCTGACTGCCTTGCACTGTATCCTCCCCGAGCCTCAGTTTCCTGAACTGTTAAATGAGGACAGCAGTAATATTTCCACGAGGGCTAAAAGAAGTGATGGGTGTAAAACAGTAAAGTGTCAGGCACAAGAGTGAGGGCACATCCTATGGTAGCTGGCTGTGCCCGGTCTTCCTTGGCCAGCCCCTCCTGTGTTAAGTTTATGTTTTGTAAGGGGTTTTGGAGACGAGGGGCTCCTGCAGGTAAAGAAGAGAATAGTAAAGTCAAACATTTGAATTTCTCTAAGTTTTTAAAATTTTGTTTGACGGAGAGGTAATTAGGTTTACTTATTTATTTTTAATGGAGGTACTAGGGATTGAACCCAAGACCTCGTGCATGATAGGCATGAACTCTACCACTGAGCTACTCCATCTCCCCTGAGGTGCTCTTTAAAAGCACTTTCATGTCTGTGTTATTTGACCCTCACTGCAGGCCTGTGAGGTAAGGAGGGGACAGGAGGCATTTCTTATCATGACATACAGAGGGTGGGTGTGGCTTCCTGGGACCTTTGGATGGTGCCCTGTGGGCTGCTTACTGCCCAAGTGTCCAGTTTCTGCATTACCAGGAGCTTGGCCTGACCCAGTGAGGAAGTCTTTTTTTTTTCTGAGGAAGTCTCTAATAGGACAAATATCATATGGAAAGTTGTCAATGAATAATAATGTTTAAAGAATTCTTATGCGCACCTGCTGTGTACTAAGGGGTGGAAATGGTTTGAGGCCACCCCCTTGCCTTCAGGTACATTCACAGGGGTCATAAACTCAAATGCCCCCAGAGGCCCAGTGGGTGGGAACTGCAGCAGGCAGCCTCTGTCCTGACCCCCAGCTCCAGCTGAGGGTGGTCATCCCAAATGTGGCCCAGTGTTGCCAGGTCTTTCACAACAAGAAGCTGGAAATCTTGATTTCCATGTCAAGTTCCCGGATTCAGAATTTTTAAAGAATGTCTTGTGAACAAGGGGCCACCATTTTGCCTTATGGGTCTGGGCTGTCATCCTACTTTGTTACATATGACACATTAGCAAGTTGCAACACCTTTCTTCCACTCAGTTTTCCTCATCCATAAGGTGGGAATAATTATAATTTAACCCCTTAAGGTTGTTAAGAAAGACTGAAATGAAATGATGCGTTTAACAGTGACTGGGAGTGTTCAGTAAATGTTGAGAGACATCAAAACACCACGATTTCTTTGCAGGGGAGTAGGCATGTAGCTAACTTTTGTGGGTGAGAATTATCTTCTCAGTGATAGTGTAGGTCTGTACTATTCAGTTTAGTAGCCATTAGCCACGTGTGGCTATTTAAACGGAAATATGAAGTCATTAACATTAAACAGAATAAAAGATGCAGTTCCTTAGTCACATGTGCTCAGTGGCCACATATTACCAATGGCTACCATACTGGATGGCACAGATAAAGAACATTTCTATTACCACGGAAAGTTCTCTTGGACCATGCTGCTGGAGGATGTTTGAGGATCGGGTGGTGTCTCAGCCCTGTGGACTTGCCCAGAGCTGAGCCTCAGAGGACAACCAGCAGATGACCAGCATCTTCCTCCTGCCCCCTATCTTAGTGACCGGCCCCACCATCCTGACACCTGTCAACCTTGACCATTCCTGCATCTTCACCATCTGCCCAATCAAAGCCCAAGTCTTGTCAATTTTCCCTCCTGATTTCTCTGGTCGGTCCCCTCCCTTGTCTCTGCTCCAGCTGCAATGTATTTGCCACCACCTGACTCAGCTGTGGACCATGCCCTTCCATAGTCCACTCTGCTCCTAGGATGATTTTTCTAAAATGCAGATCTGACCCTGTCACTCCCTTACTAAGACTCTTTAGTGGCTCTCAGCTTTCTGGGCGTGACTGCGCAAAGGTCTCCTCTCTCGCTCTGTTCCCCACCCACCTCTTATATCTCATTTCTCTGAATTCACTTCCTAATGTTCCCTGGGGTCTCAGCTAAGGTATCCCCTCCTGGAGGTTTCCCTGACCGCTTAAGGCTGAGTTGAGTGCCCCTAAACCCTTCCAGCCCCACGTGCTTTCCTTTCAGGCACTTCTTGCCTTGCTGTGTCTTTGTGGATTTGTCTGTTTGCATCTCCCACTGGATGTTTGCTCCGTGAGGACTGAGACTGTTCGCTGCTGCATTTTTAACACTTGGCATGGTGCTGGGCACACAGTAGACACCTCCAAAATACTGAATGAATAGGTAAACAAAGACTGGTTGGTGGCACATGTTCAGTGTGCCAATTTTTGCCCACGTGCCTGATTGTTTAGACTTAGGTTAATGCGAAATGAGGGGAGAGGGTGAGAATCACAGAAAAGCGTGTGATAATTGTGCCATGTCTTTCTTTCCAAACAGCGGGCAGGCTCTGGGTCTCGGCGTGATCAGGCCAGGCAGCTGATCACAGATCTAGAGACTCGAGGGAGTCAGGCCCTTTCTTTGTTCATCTCCTGCTTGGAGGACACAGGCCAGAACACGTTGGCTTCATTACTGAGGACCAGTAGTCAAGCGGCAAGGCAGCATCCGGAGGCCATCAGACCCCTGGATCTTAAGCCTGTGGTGCTGAGGCCAGAGGGCCTCAAACCAGAGTCGCTGGGAGTGGGTAAGCAGGATCCATTGATGCCAACCCCAGGAAAACTCGTTCCAGTGGTGCTGGGGCCGAAGGAGCTCTGGCCGGCCAAGCTCAGGCCCGAGGTTCTCAGACCAGAGGCGCCCAGGCCAGTGGACATTGGTTCTGGAGGACTCAGTGATGTCTGTGAGTACCAAGTGGTTGGCGGGTGGGCATACTGGGCGGTCACTGAGGAGTGACCAGTGGTACAGCTGGGTGGGCTGAGGTCTGGCACTGCACATACCCTTCCCTCCTTCCCTCACAGCACCCTGCAAGGCAGGGCATCATTAGACCCATTCCTGTAGAGGAAATTGAGGCCTAGGGAGATTAAGTAATCGCCCAAGATCACAAAGCTACATCCAAGAAAATGCAGAGATCCGGAGAGTGCAGTTGGATAATTTTTACCTATGTGGACACACAGATAATGAAACCTCAGATCGTCAAGACATAGAATGTTCTGGTGTCCTAGAAGACTCTCTTGTAACTCTTCCCAGTTTATTCCCACTCCTCCTCCATCCGAGGGAATCACTATTCTGATCACTGTTGCCATAGATCCCTTTTGCTTGTCCTTGAACTTCAATATAAATGAAATCCTATGTGCTCTCTGAGTCTGGCTTCTCTTGCCATCATTATAGTTGTGAAATTCATTCATATTGTATGTATCAGTAGTTAGTTCTTTTTCATTGTGAGGTAGTTCTTATTCTGCATCATCCACAATCTGTTTGACCATTCTCTTGTTGATGGGCATGTGGGTTGTTTTTAGTTAGGGCTTTGTTTCCATGGCAGCACACGGAGCTCCAGCACTTCCTATATCATGGTTGCCTAGTGGACCATCGTGTGGTATGGATGCTAATAGTAATAATAATAATAGTAGTAATAATAATAATAATAATAATGATTAACCTTACTTTTTGCAAGGAGTGTGCACATAAATGACTCAATTTAATCTTACCAACTCTCTTGGAAGGTACAGTTTTCCCATTTTACTGTTGAGCAAAGTGAGTAACGGATTGAGAAATGACTCACCCCAAATCACATAGCTGGTGAGACGTGGGAACAGGATTGCAGTCCAGGCATCCCCGCTGTCTGGCCTCACAAGTGCTTTGCTCTGTATTTCATTTATCCAGCCCCTGTTCATGGACATTTGTGTTTCTGCCGTGGCCTTGCGTGTTCATCTATTTCCGACTGTGGATACATTTTCAGAAATGAAATTACTGGGTTAAAGGGTCCGTGTTTCTAGCCAGTAGATGCTGCCAACTGGGACTTCAAAAAAGCACCATTTTAAAATCACACCAGTCGTAGGTGAAGGAGACCGTTTTCCTCCGCTCTTGCCAACACTGAGTATGAACCTTTTTTCCTATTTGATGGGCAGAAAGTGGTATGTGTTTTCTGTGCTGAATAACTGTGATTTTGGATGACTCATTAACACAGAGAAACAAGTAAACATAATGAGGGCAGCAGAGAGGATGTGCTTCTCCCTTCTCTTTGTGCTGGAGACACAGGTGTATCCCTGGTGATACTCAAGCCGGGACTGATTCTTTTGCACACACGCTTACCTCTGTGTGCTTCTTGGGAACTGTCAGTTTGGGAGAAACTGCTCTCATGCATGATAGGCGTGACCACGTCATCCTCCGTGAGGGTCCCCGAGCGTGCTGTGCTCCCGCACCCCTCCCTGCCTTTGTTCCTGCTGTGCCATCTGCCTAGAACCGTCCCTTCCTCTTTCTTTTGGTACATCTGTTGACTTACTCCCTCCACATATCCCCGTAGCCCACTGGCCTCTCAAGAACAATCATTTTGCTTTGCGGACTTTTTGTTTTTTAAGTAAAAATTAAAATTTCCCCCCAGCTTTATTGAGATATAATTGACGTATAACATTGTGTGAATTTAAGGTGATGATTTGATACATGGATAAATTGTGAAATGATTACCACAATAAAGTTAGTTAACACATCCACCAACTAACATAATTAACACTTTTCTGGTACGTATGGTGAGAAGATTTAAGATTTACTCACTTAGTAACGTTTAGGTATATAATACAGTACCGTTAAATATAGTCACTGTGCAATACATTAGATCCCCAGAACGTATGCATCTTATAACTGGAAGTTGGTACCCTTTGATCAACATGTCTCCATTTCCCCAGCCCCTGGCAACCCACATTTTACTGTTTCTATGAGTTTAGCTTTTTTAGGTTCCACATAGAAGTGAGATAGTAATATTTGTCTTTCTCTGTTTGACTTATTCCATTTAGCACAGTGCTCTCAGGGTCTATCCATATTGTCACAAGAGGCAGGATTTCCTTTTTTATGGCTGAATGATATTCCATTGTGTATATACACATTTTCTTTATCCATTCATCCTTTGATGGACACTTAGGTTGTTTCCTTGTCTTGCCTATTGTGAATAATGTTCCAGTGAGCATGGGGGTGCATATATCTCTTCAAGATCCTGATTCCATTTATTGGCTATAGATGCAGAAGTGGAGTTGCTGGATTGTATGGTAGTTCTATTTTTAATCTTTTGAGGAACCTCCATATTGTTTTCTCTAGTGGCTGTACCAATTTAGATTCCCACCAACAGTGCACAAGGGTTTCTCTACATCTTTGCCAACATTTATCATCACCTGTCTTTTTAATAATAGCCATTCTAACAGGTTTGAAGTGATATCTCATTGTGGTTTTGATTTGCATTCCCCTGATTAGTGTTGTTGATCATCTTTTCATGTAGCTGTTGGCCATTTGTGTATCTTCTTTGCAAAAATGTCTTTTTAGTCCCTCTGTCCATTTTTAACCTAGATTATTTAAAAAAATTTTTTTTTGCTATTGAGTTGTATGAGTTTTTTATATTTTGGCTATCAATCCTTATCAGATATGGTTTACAAATATTTTCTCCCCTTCTGTAGGTTGCCTTTTCATTTTGTTGATTGTTTCTTTTGCTGTGCAGAAGCTTTTTAGTTTGATGTAGTCCCATTTGTTGATTTTTGCATTTGTTGCTTGGGTTTTTGGTGTCATATCCAAAAAATCATTGCCAAGACCAGGATCAAGGAGCTCCTCCCTAATGCTTTCCTCTAGGAGTTTTATGGTTTCAGCTCTCAATATTTAAATCTTTAATCCATTTTGAGTTAATTTTTGTGAGTGGTGTAAGATAGGGGTCCAATTTCATTCTTTTTCATGTGAATATCCAGTTTTCCCAACACCACTTACTAAAGAGACCATCCTTTCTCAATCATATGTTCTTTACTCCTTTGTCAAAAATTAATTGCCCATGTATGTGTGGGTTTATTCCTGGGCTCTCAATTCTGTTCCATTGATCTGTGTGTCTATTTTTCTGCTAATACCATGCTGTTTTGATTACTGTATCTTTGTAATATAACTTGAAGCCAAGGAGTGTGATACCTCAGCTTTGTTCTTGTTTCTCAAGATTGCTTTTGCTATTCGAGGTCTTTTGTGGTGCCATATAAACTTTAGGATTTTTTCTATGTCTGTGAAAAATGTTCTTGGGATTTTTGATAGGGATTGCATCAATTATGTAGATTCCACTTGTATATATTTTTTTAATCTTTAAAAATATTTTTTTGTTTTGTTTTGGGGGGGAGGTAATCAGTTTTTTTTTAAACAAGGTACTGGGGATTGAACCCAGGACCTCATGCATGCTAAGCATGCACTCTACCACTGAGCTATACCCTCCTCCCTCAATTTTATATTTTTGATGTCACAATTTACATATTTTTTAAAACTTGAAAGTAATCTTAAATTAACATTTATTTAGTGCCTACTTGAACTTAATACAGAGAAAATTAAGCAGATATGATTATTGGTCTGGAGCACATAAATTCTAGTAAGAATGAAAACTGAATAAAATTGTAAAAGACATACATACTGTAAACACATCTAAGGAAAAAATGAGAAAAGCTAAAATGGTAGTAAAAGAAAATGTCATTACTACTCAATGAACCTTTTCATGGCTGTTGCACTGGAACTGTGCTATAATTTCCTCAAAGGTCCAGGCTGGCAGAATATTTGACAATTTACATCTTTTTATATCCATTAACAAAGTATTGTAGCAATAATTATATATGATACTTTTGTCCCTTAACTTTTATATTAGAGTTAAGTGGTTAACATTCTACCATATCACAGTATTAGAGAATTCTGAATTTGATCACATACTTAACTTTTACTGGTGTGTTTTATATTTTCATGTGTTTCCATGTTACTAATTAGCATCCTTTCATTACAGCTTGAAGAGCTTTTTTCAGCATTTCTTATAAGTCTGTGATGAACTCCCTCAGTTTTTATTTTGCCTGGGAAAGTCTTTTATCTCTCCTTCAATTCTGAAGGACAGCTTTGCTGGGTAAAGTATTCTTGGCTGGCAGTTTTTCCCTTTGAGCACTTTTAATGTATCATCCCACTCTTTTCTGGTCTGTAAGCTTTCTGCTGAGAAGTCCGCTGATAGCTGTAAGTCGGTTTCCTTGTATGTGAGGAAGTTTTTTCTCTTGCTACACTTACTTATTTATTTATAAATCAAAGTATAGTTGATTTACAATGTTGTGTTAGCTTCTAGTGTACAGCATAATGATTCAGTTACATACATAGATTCTTTTTCATTTTCTTTTTCGTTATAGATTTCTCTTGCTGCTTTTTATAATTCCTTGTCTTTGATTTTAGACAGTTTTATTATAATATGTCTTGGAGAAGATCTTTTTGGGTTGAGGTTGTTTGGGGACCTATGAGCTTCATGAACTTGGATGTCCAGATCTTTCCCCAGATTTGGGAAGTTCTCAGCCGTTATTTTTTTGAATAAGCTTTCTGTCCTGTTGTCTTTCTCTTCTTCTGAGATTCCAATAATGCATAAATTGTTTCTTTGAATGAGATCTTACAGGCTTTACATACACAGCCTTTCTTCACTCTTCCTCATTTTATTTTCTTTGTTCTCTTCTGAATGGATCACTTCAAATGACTTTCTTCTACAGATTCTGTCTTCTGCTTGGTTAAGTCTGATGATGATTCCTGTTGCGTATTCATTTCATTCATTGTATTTTTCTGCTCTACAATTTCTGTTTTGTTCAAAAGATTTCTATTTCTCTGTTAAACGTCTCCTTTTGTTTGTATATTGTTTTCCTGATTTTGTTGAATTGTCTTTCTGTGTTTCTTGTAGCTCGCAGAGCTTCCTTAGGATGAAAGTTTTGAATTCTTTACTGGGAAAATCACAGATTTCCATTTCTTTGGGGTCACTTACTGTGGAAAATTATTGTGTTCCTTTGGTAGTGTTATGTTTCCCTGATTTTTCATGTCCCTTGAAGTCTTGTGTTGCTGTCTTTGCATTTGAAGACACAGTCACCTCCTCCAGTCTTTATGGACTGGCCTCTTCAGTGTGTCCCATCTTGCTGGATTTTCTGCACCTGAACTTCTCTGCTGGACTCCTGGACTTCTACAAAGACACTCTCGTCTGTGGGTGATTGTCAAACTCAGCGTTCTTTGGGAAGGGGAAGGTGGTAGAAAACTCTTATTCTGCTGTTTCGATGATGTTACTGCCTCACTTTGTGGATCATTACTGCTAATTCAGGAAGTGAATACATCCCTCAGTAGTAGATGATGGTATATTTTTGGGGTGCAATGGAATTTTGGAAATGAGCAATTGTTTCAGAATTAAGTCTGCTGTCTAAAAGGAGCCTTCAGGCTAGGTGAAACCATTTCTAATTTAAAAAATTGGCTGTGAATGCATTTCTGGCATGGCTCTTAAACTGGCAAGAGAATATTTCTCGACAAGGCCCAGGCCTGCTCTGAGCAGTGAACGACACCATCGTCGGACCACGAGTATAGTCTCCAGTGTGACTGGGAGGGAGTCGGTGTGTTCTCTTTGTGTCAAAAAAGAGATGTCTCATAACCTTAGAGGGTGGTGGCCAGTAGACTTCTGCTCATTGAAATGAAA